CTATCCTCTATCCTCTAATTATTGGAGAATAGGCTGCGGTGCGTCACTACTGATAGGTCAACGATGCTCAGGGATGTTGGGTTGGGAGAGCCTTGATCACCAAGAGGCGCATTGTCAGCCCATGTAAGGTAAGCGCCTTTATCTGGCCCAAAACACCAACACGAGGGTGTTTCCCCCTCGTGGAAACACAGCTGAGCTGCACACGGGTGAGACTGAGTGAGCCCACACCTCATGTTAGGGGGCGTGGGGAAGATCACAGGTTTGAACCTGGTTGGTGAGAGTGCATCTGCATCCCGGAGCCTCTATTTGAACTTCATGGTCTCTGTGCTACACCTCAGGAAATTTCGCAGCACAGTGGAGTTCGTACTGAAATTTCAAATAGCGAAGCGTACTACTGGGCCGTGGCCGCATTGGTAGTACCCCAACCCAACTGGCGGACGGGAAGGAACTGAAGAGGGAGCCACAGCAGGAGGTGGGCAAAACGATCGAACCACGACAGGAAGAAGAACTAGTACCATCATCATCAACCTGACGAGAGAGAAGGACAGCCACGAAGAGAAGTTGGAGGGAGATTCGGTGGTGAGGTACCACAGCAACCACCGCAAGAAGACAAGGAGATGAGCAACGGAACGCCATCACCCGGCAAAGATGAAATATTCGATCGCACGGCCCGTTTGGTTATGACCAGCGTCAATGACGGTAGCGTGCACCTTCTAACTCCTCCCAATCATCTCCGGTCTCCCACAAAATCGCTTTCTCTTCTCCGCCCCCCCCCGCCACCTCCTCTTCGTTTTCGTTCTTCCTTTTTTTGATTTCATTTTTTATTTTATTTTTATTCCTCTTCCCCCGTTATTGTGATTTATTATTGATTATTTATTTTTGATTGTTTTTTTGTTTTGGACGTACAGCGGACATGGAGGCATTCCTGCTGAGCTACCCCATGGTCCTCACACCCAAGAACGATCTCGCCCTGCTGTGGGCCGAAGAGTACCCGACCGTCCCACCTCGTCTTCTCTTCATTTGCCCTTTTGCCCTGACTCTCCGCGTCTTATGCGATCTGTTGTGTGTGCGGTGCTGCGCCACAGGTATCGTAAGGCGTGTTCGTGGCGGCTCGACGGTGACACACGCAAGAAGCACCACGCCGAAAGGTTCCTCTTCTCCCGCACTCACCACGCAGCCATTAACTTACATCTTTTCTCTGCGTTGTGCGTTGTGCGTTGTGCGTTGTGCGTTGTGTCGTGTGTCGTGTGTCGTGTGTCGTGTCGTCTCGTGTCCTGCGCTCTCAGAATCCTGGAGTTTATGCGCATATGGGCCAAGAACTACCCCAACGATTTCACACCGGCGTCGCGCAAGGCCGTACTGGACGTGCTCACCAAGGAGACCGGCGGCAATGCGGCCCTGCTCAACGAGTTCAAGCTCCTCTTTCTCAAGCGCCAGGCCAACCCGCCGGCGGCCGGTTCGGCCCAGGAGCCCACCACCACCACCGGCGGCGGCGGCGATACGGTTGTCAACGGCAACGCCAGCGGCGGGCTCGGTACCAGGGGCGGCAGCGGGGTGCGGCTGTTTCGCAGTGGGAGCCTAACGGCTCGCGGGACCAACGGAGCCGCGGCCGCGGCCGTGTCGGCCTCGCTCACGAGCAGCACCCACGCGGGCAGTCTCACGGCGCGCGAGTACAAGCCCCCGTCGGGCCGAGCTGGCGCCGACGACAACGGTGAGTCAAGGCCGTCGACAGCGTCGACAACGACGGCGACGACAGGGGCGACGATGGGTCCGATCCAGGCGTCGCTGTCGGGCGGCTCGCTCGACAAAATGTTCGCCAGCCGGCGCACGGGGAAGAAGCAGCGGAGCGCGACGATCGGCGGCGGCCCGCTGCCCCAGCTCGCCTCGACTCCCGACGTCGTCGAGTTTCGCGAGCGCCCGTCGCTCCCCTCGCCGCGCGCACCACCACCATCATCGTCGTCTTCGTTCTTGTCGTCTTCGCTCTCTTCGTCGCACGCGTCGCCGCCGGCGTCGCCCAGGACCACGGCCATGATCGAAGGCCGACGACTCAACAAGGAGCACAGCCTCAGCACCAACAATGTGAGGAATGCAATCATCGTCGCAGCCTCTGCTGGCGCCGGAGCCGGCGCCGTGCCGCCCATCAACCTGCACGAGGTGCGGAAGAAGGACCAGATCAACCTCAAGGAGAAAGACCAGAAGACCATCAAGAAGATCCGCTCGGCCTCGCTCAACCGACAGCACCAACAGACCTCCTCCATTCCCCTCATCTCCCCTCGTGGCGACAAAGGTCGCCTCAAAGGTGCGTGCGTGCGTGCGTGTGCGGTCGTGCGTGTGCGGTGTGTGTCGTGCGGTGTGTGTCGTGTGTCATGTGTGTCGTGTGTGTCGTGTTGTGACGTGTGCGCTAAAGATGATGATTGCGGGGGTGAGACAGACATGGTGAAGGATCTGGGGAAGAGGAAGAAGCTGCTGGACTTCTCGACGGCGTCGCTGGCGCGCGAGCTGACCATGCAGGAGTGGGAGATCTTCAAGCGCATCGCGCCGCGCGAGTTCCTCAACCAGGCCTGGCAGCGCGAGAACAAGGCCATCATCGCGCCCAACATCATCCGCATGATCGGCCGCTTCAACCAGATCTCCTACTGGGTGGCGACCGAGGTCCTCACCAAGCAGGACCGCAAGACGCAGGTCAAGATCATCAAAAAGTTCATCAAGACGGCCTACATCTGCTACCACCTGGGCAACTTCAACTCCATGATGGAGATCCTCTCCGGCCTCAACAACATCTCCATCTCGCGCCTCAAGGTTTGTCTCTCTTATGTTCGTGTGCGGTGGCGTGTGCGGTGGCGTGTGCGGTGGTGTGTGCGGTTTTGCTGATGAGAATGCGGGGAATGCGTGTGTGCAGGATACGTGGCGGCAGGTGCCGGAAAAGTACAAGGCCTATTTCGAGGAGCTCGAGGCGGTGATGGACAACCAACAGAACTTCCATCGCTACCGCGAACAGCTCGCCAAGTAATCCCTTCTGCTTCTCTCCCCTTTCTTCCATGACCGTTACTCACCGCACACGCACGACGACACGCACACGAAACGACACACACATCACCGCACACGACACGACACACGATAATGTAGGCGAGAGGAGGCGCGAGAACCGACGCTGCCCTATTTCGGATTGTTCCTGCGCTACTTCACCTACTTGGACGACGGCAATCCGGCCTACGGACCCGACAAGTGCATCAACATCGGTGCCATGGAGCTCCGCCTCGAACACGTAGGCGCCTCATCTTTCATCTCTCACCACACACGACACACGCACCATCGCACAGACACGGCACTCACAACACACGACACACAGGTGCAAAAAGTGATGAAATACCAATCGATTCCGTACAACCTCTCGAGGTGCGTCCATGTTGGTCGTGTGTGCGTGTCGTGTCGTGTCGTGCGATGGCCATCGATGATGGGTGTTGATGATCGTCGTTGTTGTACTTGTATTTCCCAGGAATGTGCACGTGCAGAACTTTCTCAATAATCTGCACGTGGTGGAGGACGAGGACAAGCTCTACGCCATGTCCCTCGCCTCCCAGGCCCCCTCTAACGCCCACCCCGACCAACTCGCCCCAGGTACCCATACCCACCACGATTCCACCTTCGCGTTCGTTCTTTCATACGTTCCGCTTCGTTTTCGCTTTCGCTTTCGCTCTCTCGTTCTTTGCCCCCCTCTCAATGCAGCCTTCTTAACGTTCCCCATCGCAGCAGAGCCGGAGGCGCAGATGTTTGCGGAGGACATGATCGCGACGGGCCGCACGACCGCCGGCTTCTCGCACAACCGGCCCTTCCTCCCCAACGACAACCCCGACGAGACCAGGGTTCGTCCACCTCATCATCATCGTCATCATCATCTTTTTCATCACCTTCTTATCATCTTCATCTTCATCTTCATCTTTTTCATCGTCATCATCAACAACGCTCAGTATTCGAAAACACACGTGCTAAGCTCTCTGTTGCTGAGCAGGATGACATCTCCGAGGAGATGAGCTCGTCGTTCCTGGACATCACCACGACCACGACCGAAGCGTCGACCCTCGAGCGAGTACGTGAAATGATTATTTTCATTTTATTTGCCTGCTGCGCTCACCCCATTCCGCTCTGCGGCCATCAGGAGGAGGACGGCACCGAGCTGTCCACGATCGACAGTGACTTTGAAGACGAGGAAGAACTGTAACGCCTCCTCCCCTCACACGACACACGCGACACACGCGACACAACACACGCGACACACACACACACGCACACGACACAATGTGCTCACCGTGGTCCGCTGCCGCACCTACAGAAGGTTGGAGGAAAAAGTGGCGCGGCTGCGTCAACAAATCCTGGCCGCACGCGCCCACAAGGTATGGCCATCATCCCGCCACGTTGCTTGTGCGTACCGTGCGTGTCGTGCGTGTGTGTCGTGTGCGTGCGTGTCGTGTCGTGTGCGCGTGCGTGTGCGGTGTGGCTAATGAACGGCTCCCATGGGAAGGAGCAACTCGCGCAGAAGGTGCTCGACCTCCGCCGACAGAGGGGGTTCGACACCACCGCCACCAACCCCGGTGCGACCAGTCCCGACAAGGAGAAGGAGGTCTGCGGCGGCGGCAGCAGCGACGGCGGCGGCGGCGGTCGTCCGAGGGCGCACAGCGCGGCGGCCGAACAGCGATTGCGCATCCTCCGCGAGGTGGGCCACGCGCGGCGCGTCAACACGCTCGACGGCGCCATGTCGCCGCGGCGCTTCAATGATCAGCTTCAGCTGCGAGCGATGACTGCGACGGGACGGCGACGGCAACGGCGGAGAAGGCGAAGGGGGAGGGGGATTCGGACAGCACCGAGGCAGAGGAAGAGTCCTCGTCGGGCGAGGCCGAAAGAACGAAACGAAAACGAAAACGAAACCGAAGGCGTCGCGACGTCGGCAGAGGCGGCGTGGCGGCGACGAGGAAAGCGAAAGTAGTGAGGAGGACACAAAGAGCGAAGAGGAAAGCGAAGAGGCGGAGGGGGATAGCGGAGAGGGGACGACGTCAAGTGACGACCAGGAGGAGAGCGACAGTGAGAGCGAAAGCGAAAGCGACAGTGACAGCGAAAGCGAAAGCGAAAGCGATGATGAAAGTGAGGAGGAGGAGAGCAGCGAAACCGATGAAGATGACGACGACGACGATGACGACGACGATGAATTCGAATGCGAGAGCGAGTCGGCCTCGAGTAGTAGCAGCAGCACGGAGGTGACCTCGGAAAGCGACGACCCGGCCAAGCGAAACCAAAAGAAGAAAACGAAGACGACGAAGAAAAAGAGGCTCGGACATAAACCATCATCATCATCGAAACCGTCGTCGCATCGACCTTCATCATCGAAGCCCACCACGCGGCCGTCTCTCGCCTCGTCACCGCTCCATCATCAGACGCGCCACCAGCAGCCGTCGTCGCAGGCCACGACGCCGCGCACCAGCGGCGTCTACATCCCGCCACTCTACTTCGCGTCGTCGACGGCCGGCGAGGGCAGCGGCAGCGGCAGCGGCGCGGCCAACCGACAACACGGGCGCGAGCGGGAGCGCGATCCCTACGCCCAGTACATCTCGCCCCGCGTGCCCAACACCCTGCCCTACTCCCCGCGCCGGCCCTCCCTCTCGGCCTCGGTCAGTCCGCCCTCGACGGCCGTGTTCGGCGGCGCGCCGCCGTCGATTCGCAGCGGCGGCTCCGGCATTCGGCTCAAGAAGGAGACCCGCAGCCGACCGGGCGGCGGCGGCAGTCACGGCAGCAGCAGCCAACGGGGCGGACGCGAGAGCGGCGAGATGATGATGACGATGACGCGAGACGTGCGGATGGAGAAGACGTCGTCGTTCCGCTTCTTCGCCCACCTGAGCGAGGGCGTGCCCGAGGTCATGAAACAGATCAGCCCGCCCGCCATCGACGTCGAAGGCGGCCACAAGCGCACGACCGTGCCGATGCGCGGCAGAGCGCGCGAGGCCGCTCTTCACCACCAGCATCAGCAGCGCAGACGGCCCACCTCCCTCAGCAAAAGCGACGTCGGAACGCGACACGGCACCGAGCTATGACACAACACACACACACACACACTGTCGGTGCATGTTGTATGTTGTACAACGTTATGTGCTCGGCATTGAGGAAGGAAGAACATCATCACAAGCAACAACAACAACGTGTGTAGTGCGAGTTGATTGATGTTTTTTACTTTCTACGTTTTTTGTTGTTTCATCTTCAGCTTCGCGAAGCCTCCTTCTCGTCGAGCCACTGGGGCAGCCTGAGGCCCACGCGGGCGGCGTTGCGGTGGAGCCGGGCGCGGGTGTCGTCGGGTCGGGGCGTGAGGCCGTAGCGCTCGAACATGTCCTTCTCCACCCGGGAGCTCTCGAGGAGGGTCAGGTAGGCCTGCCCCACCCGAAATCCATTCCACGCCTCGGCGGGCGATGTCGATGCAGATCGGAATGCGCCCATGATAGAGTCCCGCCACAACGGATTATTGGAAACGGGAATCATCTGCTCGTTGGCCTCGCGCAGCAGGCTTCGCAGCAGCCCCCGCACCTCCGATCTCGTCGGTCCCGCTGCCACCTTCGCCATCTTCTGCAAATCTTTTTTGATTTTAGCTTGAAAATACATTTCTTTTTATTTTCTTCTTCCGCTTATTTGTCGACGAGCCGCAAGACACACCAACACGAAGACCACCTCACCACTTCATCATCACACGAGCTCAGTTGACGACCGGCCTCATCGACTTCGGCAGCAGCGCTGCTCCACCTCTCTTTGGCGGCATCCTGATGTGACACGATTGTACGCGATGCATGAGTTCATAGTGCAGTAGGGAGGAGTGTGTTGTGGGTTCTCACCTTCCGTTGGCGCTCGAGGGGGCGATCCGTCGCTTCTTCCGGCTGGGCTCCTCTTCAAAGTCTGAATCGACGTCATCGTCTTCTTCGGCTCCGCCCAGCACTGCGGCGGCGAAGGCGTCGGCGTCACTGTCGGCCATGAGTTGGTTGTTGTGAACGGCGGCCGGCTGCTGCAGCTGGCTGCCAAAGTAGAACCCGAGCGACGCGTCGTCGATGCCACCGTCGCTGATGTCGGCGGCCTCCTCCTTGGCCTTGCCAGCATTGGTCGATGATGGCGGCTCCTCACCGCTGAAGCCGCTCTCCTCCTCGCCTTCGATGTCGACTTCTTCATCGTCATCGACCTCCTCCTCGAGGATCTCCACCTCCTCATCCTCTTCCTCCTCCAATTCTTCTTCATCATCATCTTCGTCGTAGGCCTCGAAGCACTCATCGTTGATCTCGAACGCGGCCTCCTCTTCCTCTTCTTCTTCATCATCAGCCATTGCTCGCTTGCGCTTCGTCGCAGCTGTGGCCCTGGAGCTGACGGCGCCCAGGCGCGACCGCTTGGGCTCGGTGAGCGGCACGCCTCGGTCCTTGAGCTCCTTCTCGAGCGTGGCCAGGCGGTCGCGCAGCACCTGCAGCCGGGCCTTGAGCTTCTCGCCCTCGCCGGGCGCGAGCACCTTGCGCTCCTTGAGGCGGCGGCGCTTGCCCTTGCCCTCGGCCACGATGTCTTCGATGTCGACCACCTGCAGCTCGACGGCCTCGATGTCGCTACGCGGCAGGCTGTACTTCTTAGTGTTGGCACGACGCAGCTTGTCCTTCTCCTCTTTGGTCTGGTTGTTGCCCGTGTTGATGATCAGTCCGTTCTTCACGAACGTGTTCGGGTTGTTTCGATGCCTGTACACACACGACACGACACCACCAACGACACGACCAACGACACGACACACGCAACACAAGCAGTGTAAATAAATGCATATTTAGACAAAAAAGGAAAATGCGAAATAAATAAATAAACAAAAGAGATAAAGAAGACAGACGTACTTCTCCTGGATGTCCTTCCAGACGACGCGGGTGTCGAGGTGTATGCCCTTGAATTGGGCGATGGACTGTTGGCCCACCATCCTCTGGGTCTGGAGGTTGAGCTGACTCCTCGTCTTGCCCGGCAGGCACTTGGACTCGATGATGGCCTTCCAATTGCCACATCCGAACTTGATGATGGCCAATCGCAGAATCTCGGAGGTCTCCTGCGTCCAACCGGGCGAGAGGGAGTAGTTCCACAACGACGGGCTGTCCGCCGTCTTCACCAGTTTGCGTGCCATCGACATTTCTATCTTCTCTTGATGATGTCTAGTTGTGTTTCCTTCAAAATTGTTCCCTTCCGCTCACTATTTTCAAGTACTTCGATAGGATACTATCAAGGCGCCTGGATGAGATCTAGAAGACGTGAATTGTCGTTGTGCCTCGATCGAAGATGGATTCAGAAACGTTCGGGGGCTGCTTGGCTCTATCCAAACCCAACACCGGCATCCCCAGCCACCCGCTCAAAAAAAAAGGCGCGAAAAAAAATCTAAACCGTCTGTCGCCACAAAAACTTTCGCGATATTTTTTTGTGATTTTTGTTTTATTTGTCTGATTTTTTTGTCACACAGCAGAGATCGAGATGTTCGCGAATGCGTTGGAGAACTGGCTGACGGTGGTGGCCGCCCTGAGCATCTTTGGCTCGCTGCAGGCGTACCTCTCGACCAATACGCTCAAGGACCGCCAGTTCTCTCTCGCCAAGAATGAAGGTTTTACTCCCTCCCCCCCCCTCCGGAGATGTTCAAGTCTGTACAGACTTCAAACCCGCAAAAATCTCTTCAACTTCATCTTCTCATCCTCTATTTCTAGTCTCTCCGGTTGCTCGCCGCCTGTTCGGTGCCTGGACGCTGGTCGCTTCCCTCGTCCGCCTCCAGGTATTGCCGCCTTCTCCTTTTTTCTCCGCCACAACCGCTTACCTGACGTTTCGCGCTTCGTTCTTTCGTTCTTCTTCAACTCTGGTGAAACGTTTCGCGTAGTGCGCTATGGACTCGACGAACAAGGCCATCTACCAGACCACCATCGGCACCTTCCTGGTTGCCTTTGGCGTCTACGGCTACGAGTGCTTCGTCGCCAAGACCGTGCCGTTCAAGCACGCCCTCCCGCCCTTCATCGTCGCCGGTACGCTCTCCATTCCTTCTTTCTCTCCAAAAGGGCTTGCAACCCGAAACAAACAACAATGTTGGCTTCTTTCCTTCTTCTTGCTCACCGCCACTTGATTGCGGGTTCAACAGGCACCTCGCTGGTCTGGATGCTGTTCTTCCACTGAGCGCGCAAGACAACTGGGCACACGAGCCACACTCGCAAGCCCCCCCTCCAAGAATGTTGCTTCATTCTTCTCCCATACACGCTGGCTTCTTCCTCTGGCTGCTTCCCTTTATTGTGAGAGTCGGGGTCAAATTGTGGCATTGTGGCATCAATGGTGACATGTCAAGTTGGGTGACGCTGATGACGTGTGCGCCTACACTTGATTGAGCCCATGCCATCTTTTGGCTGATGTTGGCCCTCTGCAATGCTGTGGCCTGGACTTGCACCAGAGGTGACGCAGGCCTTGGCTGTCCAGGTTCCGCCTGTTGACCGTGTGCACCACATTGTCAACAACAACAACACAACACCATTAATGGATCCTTTGATGAAGGGGGGAGGAGATGTTAAGAGCTCCACCATCACACCCAAGCCTGAGATCAGCACACCAGGTTGAAGCTGCATGCTGGTCACATAGCCATTGTGTGCTGCATAGCCCACCTTGCAGCAACAGAGGCTATTGTGAGGCTGAGAGGCTTGGTGTTTGGAGGCACCACACCAACCCAACCATCACAACAACCATGACAATGTTCATTGCTTTTCATCAATGCACTCCACACACCACCAACCAAGGGAAAGACAGGAGATGTGCACCATACTCGAGGGAATGGAGCAAGTTGGCATCATGGGCGTCCAAGACCTGTGCACCTCACAACAAGCAACTCACTTTATAATACTAAAATTATATATGTATATCTATTTTAATCATACTTATATCTATTTAATTTTTTTAATTAAAGTTAGGTTGTACCCGCATGGTAGTGCCAAAGGCGCTGGCAGAGAGAAGGATGTTGGTTGAGGCAGATGGGCTGTGCCGGCACAAACGCCATGATGCCGCCACTGAGCGCGGGCCGGCTCTCTAGCGCCTTGGCGTCCCACAGGTGCGCCGCGCGTGCGGTTGCCGACGCCAAGAGGAGACCGTCGGGCGACAGCTGCAGGGTCCGCACAGGGCCACTGTGGGCCGAGCGCAAGCGCCGGACCATCGCTCCTCGAGCGCGCTGTTGCTTGGCTTCGTTCTCTTCGTCTTCATCGTCGTCGTCGTTCACATGTGTCCTGCTTCCTGGCAGGTCCAGCAGTTCCATCGATCCTCCCTTTGTTATGCACACCGCAACATTACAAACAACAAACACAACAATCGTCATTTTCTTCTTCATCATCATCATCACCAATTGAGAGCTCGACGAACCCCAGGATGAGGCGCCCGTGTGCCTCGTCGATGACCATGCACTCTACGGGCCTCCCTCGGGGCATACCGGTCACGGTGACGTCGCACAGCCCGCCGGCCCAGTTGCCCTCCACCGGGGCCAGCTCTCCCACAGGCGCTTTGTTAACCGGCTGTCCCCGAGATCACCGTGAACCGCTGCTGCTCTCCTTCTGCTGCTGCTGGTGCACAAGTCCAGCCAGGCCGCCCGGTCAGGCCCACCCGAGGCGGCGAAGGCCAGAAAGAAGGGGCGCCACAGCTCGTCGTTCTCGCTGGTCTGATGCGCCCGAGCACACCAGCCCATGTCGCGCGCGCTGAAGAAACTGAAGATGTGCGCCCACATCTCAGGCGGCAGCCGTGGTCCCGCAGGGGTCATCAGTTCCATGTCTCGTCCGTTGGTGAGAAAGGTGGTTTCTGGCTGCGGCGCAGAAGTCAACAAATGTGAACAAGCTGTCATGTAGGGCTTCACACTTTTGCCGACATAGCTGTCGGGGCAGCCAACATGGAGAATATGGATTGGTTGATGACTTCCAACTTCTTTCTCAACCAACAGTACCATTAACCGGAATTGCCCAAGAATCGTGATTCGAGAACAGATGTCACGAGTCCTACTAGG